ACTGCGCCGAAAGTGGATCCTTGGAGATATTGAAAATCCTTGTCGAGCATGGGGCCCAGATGGACGTGGACTCTTATGGGATGACGCCACTCCTCGCGGCAGCAGTAACAGGTTAAAGCAGAAAGTTCCACGCACCACTCGAAGGTTCCCCTAAGACAGTTTATTTAGCTCCGAGGAAAAAGCGAGCGCTGACCGAACGTTTCTTCGCTTCCTCTCTTCCAGGTCACACGCATATCGTCGAGTATCTCATAGGCATTCCCCAACTGTTCACATACGTGGATAAAAAGAGGGATATGATTGGCGCCCTGCAGTTCTGGAAACGTGCCATGAACGAGCGGTACGTCTCCATACACGGACAGGCGGTTAATCCGTAACCGAAAACCGTGTGCTTTTTATCTTTCTAACACACTTTCTATATAATCTTGTATAATCGGAACGGGAAACATAAAGAATGACCTCAAAAACCAGTTTTTGCCGATTAATCTAAAAAAAATTTAAGATGAGTATAGAAGTAATCATAGGGAATCAAACAGTGCTGAACATAAAATTTTTCTGTGATTAATATTGTTTGACAATGCGTTTCGAATTTCGAGGACCATAAACTGAGCGAAATTTGGGGATCTTTATAAATATAAAATATTTTATTTTTTATAAATTTTTTAAAAGAAATATAACTCTAATTTTTATTTAAAAAAAAAAGTTTACGCTACATGTTGAGTAATATATAGTTATATACATATATTCTTCCCGTAGATATCGGGGAGACGGACCAGTGATAGCAAAACCTGAATCTCCACCGCTTGTAGCTGCTTACGATTACGCCCGAGAGGTAATTGAACCCGAAGCTTTGGACGATTTGTTAGCAGATCCAGATGAAATGCGCATGCAGGCACTGGTGATTAGAGAACGAATATTAGGACCGGCTCATCCAGACACTAGTTATTATATTAGATACCGCGGAGCTGTCTATGCGGACGCGGGTAAATTCCGTCGTTGCATCGAATTGTGGAATTACGCTCTCGATATGCAGCAAAGCATGCTGGAACCACTAAATCCTATGACACAAAGCTCTCTATTCAGTTTCACCGAACTCTTCAGTTTCATGGTGGGCGAGGAAGGTAGACAGACGACAAGGGGTCGCAGAGTACCGCCAGTAAAGAGAGAAGATCTGATGAGAGTTTTCGAGAAAGCTGTAAGTACGAAAGTATCATTGTCATCTATCAATATATCTATCAATATCTCAAACCATCAATATTTATTCGTAAAAATTACTTTTAGATTAACGAAGTAGCGAAAGGAAAGCAAATGTTGGACAAGATGGGCGATCTGACATGCGAGCGTGATTTTACATTCTTGAACAGAGTTCTTGTTATCACTCTGCACTTGGCGTGCCTATTAACGCGAGAGACCGGAGAAAAGGATAGCGAAGAATACAATGCCTTTCACAAAGAGCTCTACAAGTTAATCCGAATAAATGCCAAAGGCAGACACGTGAGTGGCTTAAAATAATTATTAATAATAAAAGCGAGATTAAAAATAAATATCTACATTTCCGGTTCTGTAATGTGTCTTTCAGGGCCGTGACGCGCTGCATTTAGTTCATAGCGAGGATGGGGCGCTGGTTGGCAGGTATCCCACATGCAAGTTCCCATCTCCTCATTTGACTAAAGCTCTGCTAAGAGTGGGCGCAAATGTGGCTGCCAGGGACAACGACGGCAACACGGCTCTGCACCTTACCGCGCTATTACAGCCTTGGCGACCGAGTCTGTCGATCGATCTGCTCGATGCTGGCGCGCATCTCGACGCGATAAACAATGACAACAAGACGTTCCAGATGCTATTGCCTAATAAGGAGCTTTACGATTCGATTTGTCCTCTGAAATACACCACACTCGCCTGTCTGGCCGCGCGAGTGGTCAAAAAGACGCAGAACATCAGCAGAGTGCCCGCACACCTCCGCACTTTCGTTGAAATGCACTAGTTGCGATGAGACACCATCAGTGAAATGCTATGGCAAACATTTCTACTTGAGAAAATGTGACGATTATGGAAAGCAATGGTGATAATTCGGGCGTTAACTTGAATTCATAATTCATTCATTCTAGCACCTCGATATTCTTGAAAATATCTTCTAACAAGAGACACATGATACGGTGTGACACGGAACATCGTTACATACTTGTTGTTCGCCAATGTTAAACAAGGATGAGATAATCACTGTGTTGTACTGAGTCGCTTGTTGGAAAGCACCCTTTATCATGGGCTTATCGAAGAGGGGGGGTTTGGGGGTTTGGAGATTCAAACTCCCCCTGAAATTTTTTATTAATTATTTGATTTGGAGAGAGTCACATTAGCGCACATCCTGCTCATTATAAGACCATATAAATAATTTTTAATACTTCTGTTAGTTGGAGAAAATATTACTTTGACAAAAAATACGATACATAGAAAATTTTCGTAAGGTTTTTGTCACGAAAAACAATATACATTATAATTGATACATTCTTGTAGTAACTGTATTATCCTTCTTAAAAGAAAGTCTTTAAAAAAATAAGTAAAAGTTACATACTGTACAAAACGTAACATTCTTCCTCTTCAAAATAAGGTACGAGAAGATAGTAAAAATATCCAAATGAAATTCATTAATGTTAAAAATTGTAAATTATAACAATCAAATTAGTGCAGTAACGTTTTTTTCAGTACAATAACAAAAAATATTTGTTTTTAGTTGTTATTTCGATTAGTACAAGTACATCCCTGGGTTGATTGAAACCCCTCTCCCTCCTCCGAAAAAATTTCACGATACGCCCATGCCCCTTATTGTACAGGATTTCGAAATCATTCTGATTTCTAGTTGTTTTTTTTAAATGACGATTTTGAGATATCTTGTATATAATCTATACTAGAACAGGGATAAAAAGATTGTCCCCAAGAAGCACAAATCTTCTGACTAATGATACAATACGAAGCACACGTGATCCCAAGAAGATTTTTTGACAGCTTCTCTCGTAACATACATAAAACATGTTTCGCAATAAGATTTTCGCAAACGAAAAATAATTTTTTATTTCAATTGACAACTTTCTTTTTATGCTTCGTAATTAATTTACTGAAAGAAAACTCCAAATACATGCGTCTTTTAAAGCGGAAATTATAGATTTCGCTATTAAAAATTTTATATTCAATAAAGTGGAATAATATACACTTTACTTATGTATATACATATATGTATTTTTTAATACGATTACGGTAATTCATAAAATATCTATTTTCATAAAAAGAATTTTAAAAAGATTAAAAAATTTAATGAGAACTTGGATCCATTTCAATTGATAATTTTTTGTTTTATATAATTATTTAATTAACCTTTATTTGAAAATTGATTGGAGATTAACGCGTTTGTATCGAAGTAAAATTAATTTATCAGCATTTTTATTTAAACCTTTGCTTGCCATTATTTTTGTTAGACTGAAATTAATTAGCAACATATTTTAATAGATCTCTTTAGTATCAATGTGTGATGATACGAAAGAGAGGCTTTTTAATTTTAATGAATGAGTTAGATGAATATTGATATTGCAACAAAGTGATAATGCAGACATTGTGATCTTATTATTGCGAACTTGGCTAATTAGGCCTCTCCCTTATACATAAACCCCGCGCAAGCCATATTATATATATATATATACATACACACACATGGTACATCTCCAAAATTCGGGCAAATTTCAATTTAAATTTTCCGCTATATTGTGCCTCCGCCAGAGGTTGGCGTCCGAGAAAGCCTGATGCTTCTAGTAAATAGTCATATTCTCAAAATGGCGTGATTGAAACCAAGTGCGAAGTATAATCGAAGAGCCGCGAGTATTATCGAAGGCTTTCGCGCTGGGCGCTCAGCAACGGAAATAATTCGGTTCTTTGGATACCCAAGATCAACCGCTTATGACGTTGTGGCAAAATATACGGCTTTAGAACGAAGGTTCCAGCGAAAAAGAGTCACTCGAAAGAACGCACCGCAAAGACCTCCGCAGTCATTGAAAGGGTTCAAGCGTTGAATTTCGAGTGACCCAAGACAATCGTTGCGCATTCTGATGGATGTAGTGGATGGAAATTGTGGCGTCCGGAAGGCCATGTTTCTTAGCAGGACGGTGCACCGGCTCATACGAGTCATTTGATTCAAAATTGGGTTTCAGACAACATCGATATGTTTTGGTTCAAGGAATTCTGACCTTCTAACAGCTCAGATTTAAATCCCTTGGACTATTACGTATGAAGTGTAGTTGAAAGGGTCACAAACAAGTCTCGGCATCCCAATGTGACATCATTAAGGATCACTATTGAGGTAGCATTCGTCGACATGGACAGTGCTACATTACAGAATGCGTACGAACGCTTCAGACCGAAAATAGAGGCCGTCATTTAAGCTAATGGGGGATATATCGAATAATTGTGCTCTACAGGGATCCATCCCAAGTGCCATGTAAAAGAATTTTTTGTAATATTTAATTTTTTATTAAAAACATTTTATTTAAAGAAATTGTTGGATTTGTCCGGATTTTGGTGACGCATCCTGTATATATATATATATATATATATATATACATACATAATACGTTGATAATACTAGATAACATAAATGTACGTTAAATTTAAGTGTGTTATCTTAGAAAAGTGACTTTTTACCTTGCTGTATAAATAAATAAAGAGAGAAACATAGATATTTGTAATAAAAGTTTTCTGACATTATGAACAATGAATGATGTAATTCTACATTTAGCATACTACAATTTTGTTTTTCAACATTTTTCACATGTATAAAATTGTTTTCTTAAATATATGAATAAAGTGTGAAACGTAAAATTGTAGTATGTTATGTTTGTCTCTTATTTCACACTTCGAATACATCACACAAGTTACTTTAGAGTTTGCTAATCATTGATATTCCAACGAGAGTAACAGTGATCGGATGATTTTATATATTATTCGCATAAGTTATAAAATTGTGCGCATTCATATTTATTTGAAATGTGATAATCCATAGTCTATAGAGAAAAGACGCGTCTTTACATAATTATATATAAATATATACAACATAAACAATATAAACGGACGTATTCAAGGTGCCTTTTTCTTTTGAGAGCTGTTGAATAGTGCACTCCTTGCGCTAAATGTGAACACGATTGTCGCAGTACTGTTTGTACCATTAAGACTAATTTACACATATGAATTACATACCCGTATTTACCGTTATTATACAATTTTATATACGTTTTACATGTTTCGTTTGAGTCGATAATCCCGTTATTGGCACATTTACGCGCGTCCGAACTATTAACTGCATCATTATAATATTATAGGACGTCGTGTTACGCGATTTTCCACAAAGATAGTAATCTTTACACTTACCCCTCGCGTACCGAAAGCTATTTTATAATATATATAGGTAAATGAAGAAATACAACTGTAATTGAAAGTATGATTTGACAATTCACTCTTTTTTATTTCGCACGACTCACAGATACAAGCTGTGTTCCGTTACTCACGAGTACTGAAAATCTATAGTTTACATTACGTATACTATAGATTTCCAGTACTCACAGTGAATCGTGGAACGCAGCCACAAACGTCGCACGTAATAGTTTCCCTGGAAAAAAAACAAATGCGTGAAGTGATTGTCAGTTGTTAAAACTTACCTGTCATTGTCACATTTTTGGAACAGATGTTTTCTCGATCGTGACCTGAAAATAATCAATAATATCCATTGTATCTATGCCCCAATGTAATAAAAATATTCCTTATACGATAATTTATACATATATATATTATATTATATAGAGAAGAGAAAAACACTTTCAGTTTTCACATAACAAGAGATATTGAACGGTTGCGCTGTACGAATCGCATAAATGTGTCACAATGATAAAAGAGTAAACGCTTCTTGGTCCCTAAAATCGACGGAACTGTTAATACGAAAAGACACGAGCACCGATTCTCAAGGAATAATATAAATAATAGTAACGACAACTTTTATATCATGTATCAGAATCCTGATGTAGTCAATAACAAAAAAAAAAGGATAATGCTACGTCTTCTTCAATTTGTAGGAATTTAATCAAGCATTGAATGAAAGGGAGGATCAATCGCTAAAAATGCGCTAACATGCGCATATTTTTTTATCGCCGATCGCATGTGAAACATCGATGAACGCTCTTACCATTAAAATACATTAATAAAAGTCTAGAAAAAAAACCGCAAAGTTCCGTTATGACAAATCGACGGAGGTTATACAAAGTGAATACTTGGAAATAAATACAAAATCATTGACGCGCATGGAAGATTTCGCCGTCCTTCATTTACAGTTCTATATACAGAATCGACTACACCATGTTAAAGACGACAAAAACCTCATGTTAACTATTCCTTTCTCGGTCACTTCCATAAAAAGTCCATCGATGTGAGCTCAATTTCATCGATAGTATCGTTAAAAATTATTGGAGATGAAGAATACACTTCGTGACAGCACCACGCATAGATATATTTAAATTCTCGCTATTAATGACAGAAAAAGTAATTATGCTAATCTCTCTCACTCTCACTCTCACTCTTTTTCTCTCTCTCTCTCTCTCTCTCTCTCTCTCTCTCTCTCTCGGGGCCAGATATCGTCAATCGTCTCTCTTCCCGGAACCGTCTTCGGAAAATCAGGGAAGAAATCATCTGAAAATGTATCTCACCTGCGAGCTTGAAAGAGCATCTTCCTCCTCATTGCGCAGATACTGACGTCCCAATTGTACGGAAGATAATCTGAGGAGTGATCTGTATTTTAAGACGTATCAATAAACGAATGGACTCGTATACTGCTTAAATGCAACGTGTTTATAGGACAGTTATGATTAATCGTACCATTTAAACATTTAGTTGCATCGCATACTAAAACTCACTTGACAAGATCCATCCGAACCAACAAGAGTGATCGCTTAAAAAAAAATAATAAAAATTTCACACAACAGCACAGAAATAAAACACAACGACCAGCATAGTTTTTTTTATAGCCAAAATGAATTTGGATTTTATTCAATCACTGTTATGATTGGTGGTTATACAAGAGTGTTATACAATAGAATATTCCTCGAGATCTACATGGCGAGAGAAGAGTTATGTTTACCAAAAAATATTTCGGTGACACCAAATGCAATTCGTCCATTGTACCGGAATCAATCCAAGTCTTGTCCGCGTACATTTCTGTGGGGGAACAGAAAAGATTAAAAGACGCTATTCAATGTCACGAGAGGTTCGATTTACTTTTTGGTAAACATACTACGGTCCATAAAACGCAGAATTTATGCCGAATCTAAATCGTCCGATATACGTTCGCTGAAGTATTGAAGCGAGTTTGAGTAAACTGAGAGGGGATCTTCCTAAAAGCGGCGGACTACAACAAATTTTTCTCTTATGCTTCATTTAGGGGTCGTAAAATTATTCTTACAAAGATGCAAAACAGTATGTATGTAGTACGGTAAATAAAAAAAAATTAATAATAATAAACGATGTGATCACGTAGAAATCGTGGCGACAAAGCGCTGTCCCCTGTCAAATACCACATGTGCTTTTTCTTACGCATAAGTGCGAACGATGCGACAAGAATATCCAACACAAAAAATTCACGATCTGCATAAAGTAAGATTTTAAACGAGCGTACCTCGATAATTCGTAAGCCGGAAATCTTCGATCGAATAACGATTTTACAACGTTAAAAAATGTGTTTTCATGAACGAAAGATTAATCTCTATCCCTTGATGGACTCAGCTGCGAATGAGCAGAGCATCACGTTAGATCGAAATGATGGAAAACCGATCGATCTCTCGTCATGATAATTAAGAAATACAGACTTACAGACTACAGAATCGCTAATTACGGTAATTAACCTGTAAATAGTGAATAACCTACACACACTGAAAAGAAACCTACTGACTTACTTATCATCATGAAACCTAAGCCTAAAAACAACTATAGTCACGATCGCTAGAAAAAAAAATGATATAAGAAGTGAACAATTAGTAGACTTCCATTGTAAAAAGGAACGATAGTCTGGTGATATATAAACAATACAGAATTGAAAAGTTGAAAGGGGATAAAGAGAAAGAGAGAGGGTGTGGAGAGTGTACGTCAATCAGTGGTCATAGTGACTGTTACAACATTGAGTAGCCATCACAAACACGACTTGCTGATCTTCCAAAGATAGACACTTCTCACTCACTGTCCTAAGTTCTGCCAGACAACTAGGATGAATTTCAAGTATTGTCATTAGGAGTGGAATCCTGCAGACGACACAAACACCCAGCTTCCTCACGCTGCGTCAATAAATTATGATTAAGCATCAAATTATGGTAATATAATCTTTTCTATCGACGTTACCTTGAATCCCTCGAGGCTTATCCTTCCCATTCTTAGTAGAGACGCACATCAATCGTTCTGCCATCAATACGCGATCGATTCATCATAGCTAATTGTGATAATTAAGGAAAACTCAATTGTACAACACAATTTTTTTTAAAGTAATTATAAACAGAATAATAAAATTAGTAAATAGATAATAGTTGTAATTAACTTTTTTTTCTTTATTACACATCTCGTAATTAATAATTATGAGATAATTATTCAAAGAAATAAAAGGAAAAAAAGGAAGAAAATGGTCAAATTATTTTTTTTCTAACAAATGTTAAAATGTTTGTTTCGTTTTGAAAAGGATACTCACAGCACGCTCGGCATCCCATTCAGATGCGAACCGTACCATGCCCATATCGGCACCTCTCATTTCCGCAAATTTTACCTCTCCGGCATCCTGGAACTTATCACGCAACATCTGCCATGTAGTATTTGGAGGTAGCTGCAACACAAAAATTATAATTAAATATTGAACCAAAAAATAAAAAATATTAGTACTTTAAGAAATGGAAAATTTCGGGAAAGAACTCAGGATCGAATGGGAATGAAAAAAACATTTCCCGCCTTGAGGGAAAAAACCTGGATGGAATATTGCTTTATTTGATGTTGCAAAAACAAAGCATTTACAAACATTGCTTTAGTTGCAATTTACATTATATTTATAATAGATATAATAGAATAATTATTTTGTCTAAATAACGAAATTAAATAGTTTATAAAATTTTTCTGATTCTGACTACTAATTTTTTATTTTGCATATTTCCACCTTCACAAAAATGTTCATTTTAAGTTTATATCTTTTTATAACTGTTTTTAAATGCTTAATGTATTTTGTTTGCTTAGTTTTAAAAGTGCTACAAAAATTCCAGTAATGACATTTTAATATTTCTATAATTACTTAACATTTTATTCTTAATAAAATGTTTTTAAAACAAATTTTAACACAGAAATATTTTATATTTTATGTTGTATTAAATGGAAGCTTTTTAAATCAGGTTAAAAAAAATGGAATATCATTAAAAAAACGTTATCCCTAGTGTCAGATTTTTTTCCGTGAAAAAATCCTAAGGATAAGTTCTTTCCCGGCGATTTAAATATTTCAGGAAAATAATAATAGAAAATATAATAATAATAATGTGAAACAAAAGTACATACGTTGCCTATAAGTATAGTATCTGACATCTGTCTTGAACCGTTGGAGTTCTGTCGGTTACCGCCACCGCTTTGACCCTGGTTCCCAGAAAACCCACCGCCGCCACCAGAAACACGATCACTGTCTCCTCTGTTAAATCCTCCATCGAAATCTCTGCCGCCACCACCAAAATTAGAGCCACCAAAGGCATTGTTACCACCAAATCCTATATCGTTATCCAATTTGGATAATCCACGCGGCGTAAACGTATTATTCCCTTGTCCACCAGCTAAAGAAGCCTGTAAACCGCTTAAACTACCGACTCCACCTCCAAAGTTATTCAAGTTCGATGCTAATTCACTCGTCAATGAGGAATTCAGCAGTGAGCTTGTGGTGAGATTAGCACCTAAACCGGCACCGGCAAGGCTAGCTTGAAGGGCTGCTGCATTTGTGTTTGATAATGCCGATGCTAGAACAAATAAGAACTCATTTATTTAACGATTTTAATTGATTTACAAGAGGTACATGTAAAAGGTGCACGCTCACCTAATTGCGCAGGTACAACATTATTTAAACCGGCGCCGAAAGCGCCCGCAGCTAAGACAGGCGCTGAGATTGGATTTACCACTGGTGGATTGTTTGCTTGCACATTAGGAATATTTCTAGCAACATCTAACAATCTGTTACCACCGGCTCCAAGTCCCATGCCGATACCCTTCAAACCTGATTTACAAAAATAAATTTGATTTATAAAAGCGTATCAAACATGTCGCGAATTAAATAATGTAAGTACCTTCTGGTAATTTAGGTGGCATATCAGGTTCATTAGCTCTGTCAAGTCTGACAGTCATACGTCTATCATACAGCTGTTGATTATGAAGCATTGAAATAGCTTGTACCGATTCTACCGGATGATCATATTCAACGACTCCAAAACCTCTTGATTTACCATCCTTGTCTTTTCCCAATTCAACATGCAACACTTTTCCAGCCAATTTGAAAACTTCAAGTAGCTTCTTCTCGTCAACTTTGTAGTCCAACTGAATAAATAGATAGATTGTATAATTCTCCGATGATGCACACTTTTAAAAAATATAGCTGCGTTATACTAACGTTAGCGACGAAGACTCTTGTGACCAAAGGACCATTGATGCCTAAAGATTCTAAAAATTGTGTACTAAGACCATAAGTGTTTCCAAATTTATTGTCTCCACCTCCACCACCGCCGCCACCACCACCACCGCCGCCACCACCGCCACCGCCGCCACCGCCTCCGCCACCGCTAGGTGCAGACATATTTTGTCTTCCGCCTCCTTGTGGTCTTGGAGGATCTCTGAATCTATCGTCACGATTTCTATCATTGTTACGGCCTGTTGCTAAACGGCCGTATTTATCACGTTCTACATCAAAATCCTGCAAAATAAATATAATTCATCAAAGTCACAATAATATAAATAATCTTTAAAATTAATCTTTTGTTAAATTATGTATTACAATTATAATGTATTTTTTAACAAAATGAAAAAATAATAAAAAAATTAAATTTTTCTATGCTGTACTAGAAAAAGTTTAGCGGCGATTTAGAATCTAGATCAAAAATTAATTCAAAAGAAGTGTTTTTAAAAAAGAATTAAGATAAAAAAATGTTCATTTAAAATTGTATTGCTAAATATAAATATTAAATTATTTCATATGTATATAGCATTCATTTTCATACGAAAAATATAAATTCTCATCATTTCTTGCGAGATTATATATACATATAATGCATAAATAAGATCTATTAAAATTATATCTAAAGCTGTGCGTGCAAATAGAAAATTTCTATACTTACTTCTTTAACAACAAGCTTCCTGCCTTTGATGTCATATCGGTGCATCTTTTCTACTGCTATCTTCACCGAATCTGAATCTTCGAACTCCACTATCCCACATCCTCTAGGCTTATCATTCTCATCCGTAAAGAGCTCCACATGCGCTACCTTACCAACTTCGGTTCTAAATAAATCCTTAAGATCTTGCCAACGAAAATCGTAAGGAATATTGGAAACATAAATTCGCCGTTCAGAAGCCTTCCTGCCGCGATCGTTTCTGTCTCTACTGCGATCGCGACTGGCCGAGTTTATGCGGTTTGGTCTGTCTGACCTTCGATTACGGTCGCGCTCTCTGCTTCTATCTCTATCATCATTGTTTTGTGCCTGATTACTGTAATTACATGTGCAAAATAATATATCATACATATACGGAGCTGCAATATTATAACATAATATATTAATTCCCATTTCTATCAATGTAGATTAAATTTAATCTCAGTTCAAACTTATTCCTTTTTTCTAATTCTTAGAATTAGAAAAAGCTGCGTTCTACTTAATAACACTAGTGAGCATCACATTTGTTTATTTTCTTGTTTAATATTTGATAAATCAGAAGGATGAAATAATTCCACAAATATTATGAGCATTAAGTAGAACACAACCTATAACTATAAACTGTGAAAACAGGACTATAAGAGAGAAAGATATATGTACTTCTTGTATGTATACTTCTTATATCAGGCTTGTCCAATTTTACCTTCGAAACCAAAACGCCAAGATATCGATGCAAAAAAATCATACGGGTAAGATTTCCTAGACTGTAAAGTGTCGATATATGTCTAAGCAATACTTTACAGTCCCTGAAATCTTACATTAAATTTTTTTATGTTTTGGTTTCAGGGCTGAAATTGGACAGGTTCAATGTATACTATCTCCCTTTAATTTATACTATATCTTATAATATTGGATTTCTATTTAGTAATACAAATATCATTGTATCTTTCTTGAAATTCAGTAAATAACAAAGACAGAATGACACTATCACCAAATGCAAAACATCCATTTTAGAGAAATAGTGAGATAAAGTTAGAATGAAATAGTATATATATATATATATATATATATATATACATATAAGGAGAAAGTATATAAATATATCTCTTTCTCTCTTTCTTTCTCATTTTAATAAAATCGCTAATAGCCACACTCAGTTACCTCTAATTAAATGTAAACTTATATTATAGATGTAAATATAAGAAAAAAGAAGTAAATCACATAGATTAGAAAGAGACATCAGGAAACATGGTAGTATCCCGACGCTAAGAGAATATATGAACGAAAGGTTAAGAGCTAGGCTGAAATTTTCGATACATTTACAGCCATACGCTTGCACGATTGCAACGCTGGAAAGTATCGAACGGTATTTATCGAGTTATGCCTTTCCTATTGTCATTACAGTCATCGCGAGATCGGAGTAACAAGGAACTTCGCATCTCATATCGTTGCATGCGACGATTCCGCGACAATCAAATAGACGGTTAACGATGTAAAACCTTACGCGACTAATCCGCAGAAAGACATTATACGCACGGGACATTATACTTACTCGTCCGTCTTCATCATTACCAGAAGCCGGTCCTCGTTCAGTTTTGGACAAGCAATCCTACGAATCAACCGTTAAACGATATATCCAAGTGTACATCGAGCGTCGTATGAAATGGCCGTCACCGGAAGTACAAACACGGAGCACTGCTCCACCATGGAGCATCGTGAATAGCCACCGGATCTCACTGCGCTCGTCAATATCGCGGAATATGCGTTCTCGCAAAAATCCCGAAATGATTTCATTGATTTTCTAAAAGCGTAATTTGAATTATTATTCGAGCTTACAATTAAACTGCAATTAAAAAATACTCATCGCTGTATGAAATATATATTCGTGATGAGAAAAATACGAAATGTTTTTCGCGATGAGTTTTGACTTTTGAGATATGCCGATATATTGAAAAAAAAAGAACATACAAACCAAACTAATTATTCGGGAGTCTGCGCAGTAAGCGCGGTAATAACTATACGAAACTCAACATGGGCTGTAATCCGATTCACGCTTATAACGCTTAAAAATCATTTAACCTTGTTGTCAAATGTTAAACGAAGACAAATGATGGTTATGAGCGTCAGAATAAATCAGACCACGGCCATAATTATATGATTAATTTATCGAGCAATTTCTATAGAAATATTACAATATTTTATTAATACGGATACAGAATTAATTTTTTAAGAAAAAAATATTTAAAAAATATTAAATAAGAAATTATATAGATAAAAAATATAGTTATAGATACAATGAATTATATAATTAGAAATTTCTTTTATGAAGCGTAACTTTATCGCGATTTCGATTAATTAATTATTAATTAAAGTAATCGAAATTGGATTAAATCGATTCAAAACGATTAATTTGACTAGCAAAATTGCTTGAAGCAAATTTTCTAATTAAATCATTCGTTATCTTCAATCTATAATCTTTTTTCTCATATAAAATATAAAAATTATAATAATTAAAAAACAACAAAATTTATAATATTCTTTCCATGATAATATGATAGTATAGACTATTTGAAAAATTAATCACCGAGTATAATTGTAATTTTAAGTTATAAAGCAAATTTTCTAATTAAATCGATATAATTCATTATCTTTTTATAAAATAACGAACATTCCCCATACAACACAAAGTTGCACAAAAGTTGCAGCAACATTGCAAAGATTTTGCAGCAATATTACTGCAAATTCTGCGCTGTATAGGCATAAGCTAACATTTCATTTGTACAATAAATATTTCAAGTATGTTGGCTACAGAATAAAAAATTTCTGGACTTGAAAATTTCTCTTTTCTGCAACCAATTAATACACTCAAATCGTATCAATTATCGTACAACAAATGGCTGCATTCAACAGAAAAAGCAGTTTTGCAACTTGTAGAATTCTTTAATATGATTGGTACGATGTATATATTGATATGATAATTGGTGCGATTGGGTAAGAACTGGATCTAGATGTATAAATCAAATATATTCAAAAATTTTACAACAATTGGAAAGCAGCTTTTTCTGCAACATTAGAAATCGCGCCATTTCGGACGCGAAGTCGCGACGGCGGCCACAAGATGACACTCGCAATGGCGTTGCGGCCGCGTTCGCGACTCGCGACTGGCGAGAACATCCGTGCAGTCGATGTTGTGAACCCCTATTACAATCCTATAGCGCGCCGGCGCAACACGACCTTCTGGTTAGAGTATCCATTTTGATCACATGTGAGTATTTCGAGCTGTCTCACTTTCGGCTTCAACTAATGGTGCTAATTGCCCGAACGAGCAGCGGATCATTAAAAATACGCGGGTAAATGTCGGGCCGGCTTACGTTCGTACGGCCGCGACGCAACGCGCCGCGACGGTAACGATCCCCGTTAGCAAATGTGATCCGCTCGCTCTTAGGTCCATTCAGTTCGTACTCGCTTCATCCACCTATCGCTCGAAATACGCTGTGCGCGACAACCGACGGTGCCCCGGCAGCGTCGCGACACACCCCGGCGAACGTAACTCACGTCGAATTCGCTCACCTACGCAGCGAAGCTCGCGAATTCCTTCGTGCTTGGTTGCGCGAGAGATCTTTGGTTAGTCGCGCCTCCCCATCCGCCTCCGATACCTTTCACTGTGCGCGAACTCCCTGCGACGACGCGCCACGTGGTCACCCTGTTCGTCCGGGTGTAACCACGTTGTCGATAGCCCGAGTTTTGGTGACTCACGTTCGCATTATAACCAGTAGAAATTCGATCCGAGCGACGTTAATGTACGTACAATGTGTAGATATTTCGTACAGGCAAGAACTCTGTTGCATCCGTGCAATTTCTTCGGTCGTTTTTTTTCCTACTGTTGTCGATATTTCATTTCTGACATCAATTTATACCCGCGGCTTAATTCGCATAAATACAGTTGCAAAATTATTTTGTTCAAAATAGCCTCATCAGTGTCATTAATAGGACACTCGAGCAAAAAAGTCGTAAAATCGTTATCATTGTATTAGTGTAGTATCATTAGTTTTCTTGTTTTTCAAAAGAGATTAATCTATAGGTCTGTTCTTTGTGGCTGAACTTATCCCAACGTAGCACTCCGAGGAATATCCTTAAGGAATATCCATAGAGAGATGTTTTTTGGATGTCTAGACTAAAACATTTCTTGGAGGCCTATGCTTTATTAGTGCACTTGTTATACACATATAATTTATTTTAAGTATAACGAGTATATCCATAATTTGTTTATATATCCCTTACAATGCAATGTCAAAATCAGTACCTTATCTGTACAAAACTGCATCCAATTATTTTTTATGTATTTGAAGTGACTTAACATATCTCTGAAAATTCACTTATTCTAGAACAAATATCTGTATTTTATTTTGGGAGAAAATACAATTTATAATACAATATAATTATATCCTTCTTTGAAATTTCTAGAAATTTCTATAAATAGAAACTTATTCCGCGAAGATTAGGATTTATTCAGGTTTCTGCAAAGAATTAAATATATATGTGAAGATTTGATGGAAGCAAGATCAAAATTTCCATAATTTAAAGCAGTGACAAGGAATGGATCTTATGAGAAGAATTGGTTCTTAACAATAGTCTGGTTCTTTTTTCTTTCTTTTTTTAATAAAGGAAAGGAAAAAAAGAGAAAGATGAACTGTACTTTTATTCTGATTTTGAATTTCAAATTTATATCTATTTTGTGCTCCACACAGATATCCATCAAACAACAATGGCAGATATCGAGGATACTCATTTTGAGACTGGAGATTCAGGCGCCTCCGTGACATACCCTCAACAGTGCTCAGCACTGCGCAAAAATGGTTTCGTAATGTTAAAATCACGTCCATGCAAGATCGTAGAAATGTCAACCTCTAAGACTGGCAAGCACGGTCATGCCAAAGTCCATTTAGTAGGTATCGACATATTTACCTCCAAGAAATATGAGGATATCTGCCCCTCCACACATAATATGGACGTGCCGTTCGTTAAGCGGGAAGATTACCAGGTAAATTTTCGTTTTTTCATAATTTCTTGCATGTAGCGAATTAAACATAATTTACATAAAATTTACATAAAATTGTTTTATTGTTTAATCTGTTTATTCTTTAAAAAATGTTTATCCTTTTATTTTTATATTTATAAATGTATTTTATTGTTATTCATATTTTATAATCTTAATTATTTAAACTTTATTGTCAATATTACAAAGAAGAATGAATTGAGTAAAGTCTATTTTAACATTTGAGTTTGCGACATAAATAATGTTTCTGTGAAAATGTGAGAGAAACATTGTAATTGTTTTGTGACAGCTTACAGATATATCTGACGATGGCTATCTCTGTCTGATGGCTGATAATGGAGAACTGCGCGAAGATCTCAAGATACCTGATGGTGATTTGGGAACACAGCTGCGTGCTGATTATGAATCTGGAAAAGAGTTACTTGTAAGTATACCTTTGTATGTGTGTGTGTGTGTGTGTTTGTGTTAACATTTCTACATGTTGCATCATACATTCAAATTGTAATGTTATTTAGAATACAATTGTGAATATATCATCAAACTATATGAGGATACACACACACACACACACACACACACACACACACACAAAGAATGTGTATGTGAACAATTTGTTTTGCTTCATATTTATAATTTATATATTTATTATTTACTAGATATGCTTTCTTAATTGTGTAGAAATAATTAACTCATATATATATAATTAATATAATAATATATTAATATAATAATATATTATCTCTGTTTCCAACATACAATTACTTCATGATAGTAAAAAATATAAAATTTTTTATTTATAATTTTTATAATTTTCTTCTAATAACAAGTATTATGCTAATTATTAATTTGTATGGTTTTATTAAGTTTCTAACTATTTTATGAAATAAAAAGTAGCGTTTTTTATTATTTGTTACTGTTGATTTCTTGTAAATGGTTTAAAAAAATTGTTCTACAAATTAAGATTATACTGTACTGTTAATTGCCCATTAAAGTAGCATGAAATATTCCAGCAAGAACAATTTCTAAAACCATTTATTAAAAATTATCAGTAACAAATAACAAAAATACTAGAAATTTCCTATTTCTCAACTATATGTATAAATTACTAATGATACAATATTTACGTGTTATATACAAGAGAAAAATTGTCAAATTATATAAATAAATCAGAAAATCTTATATTTTTTACTAACATAAAGTATTTTGTGTAAGACGTTATACAATTTGCTGGAATGTTCTATACTATTTGGACACTAGCAATTGTTCGATTTTAAAATATTTTCCTAATTTTAATTTATTTTTAATCTTTCATATTACCATATACAAAAATTATTATATTTAAAAAATTAATATCTATTTTTATATAATGTTCCTTTCACAATTGTTGACAATATCGTTTTAAAGAAAAATTATCTTAAAATTTCACGCTAAAATAATGTATACTATATAAATCTGTATATTTTTTCAGTGCACTGTACTCAAGGCATGCGGTGAGGAGGTAGTAATCGCCGTCAAAAATAACACCTCCCTCGACAAATAATTGTGTTCAGCCCGATTACGACGACAGAGAAGCCCAATACATTCGAGCAAAAACCACCCGCTTAGCCAATCAATCAACACCTTTACTATTGGTCAAACAGGATAAATAACAATAATATAACCAAAAAATCTAGAGGAAGATGATGAAGAGAGTGAAAGAGCGAAAGAAAAGAAGAGAGAAAGAGAAAGAATGTCTGAGAGAGAGAGAAAGGAAATAGAAAATGAGAGAGAGAGAAAGAGAGAGAGGGAGAGAGAGAGAGAGAGAGAGAGAGAAGGGGGAGAAAGCAAAACGGGCTAGCAGTTCCACATAACAACAGCAACGCGCCAATGCGAGAAACGACTTTTATCGAAATAATATATCCGCTTTACTTAATTATTTTATCCAACAATATTTAAATAAATCCGGGACAACAAAAACTAGGTATACGTACAGTTATATACACTTATACATATACACATATACAGATACATACAAATACACTTACACGTATACCTAGTAATTACACACGCGTTGTTTGTTATATAAGAAAGTGGTGACACTTCAGCAGATAGTTGATTGGGAAATAAAACCTGAGAAAGCCTTGAGACACATCCTGGACCTTTTTTTTTTTTTTAAGAATAGAGAGAAAGAAATTATTTACAACAGCTTTGTAACTTATTACACTTATGTGTGTGAGTGTGAGAGAGAGAGAGAACATGAGAGAATGCGAGAGAGAAAATTGTTGGAGACCAATATGAAGAGGTCGTAGGAAAAGGACCTTGGAGTCCTTGAGCGCGCGCGCGGAACAATTTTTCATGGGATGCTAGCGATGCCCGACACGAAGCAGCTCACTTCAAGCATCTTTCCTGTAATGATCGATAAGACTGGAGTTTCGCTATATGGAATTTCTACAGAATGCTAAAGGTTTCCTTCTTTTTTATGGAAAGAACTCGAGTTCTCGAGATTTTTAGGTCTAATTATATTTATAAGAATCGAAGTTTATACAATTTGAATATCTAAAAGGGTTAAGAACTTGAAAGTTCTACTTTTAGATAATTAAAAAAATTTGCGGGTTTGAAACTAAAAACATACAAAATATTTCAAATCTTAAAAATTTGAGAATTTTACAATAAAAAAGTCTAGCATTCGAAGAATTTCTAGAAAATCTTAGAAATTAGGAAAATCGACAAGATGTAAACTGCTTGATATTCACGTATTTGAGAAAATTTATTTATTTATTTTTTCGGGAATGATTTGAAATCTACGAATTTAAATATTTAGATGTGCAAGCACTTTGACATTTATCATATTTTAAAAATCGCAAAATGCAGAGACTGAAATAGAAATAGTTTGTATGAGAAAATATGTTACAATTTAAAAACTGCTTAAAATGATGTGGAAGAATACGATTTAGACCTTTAAATCCAGGAACATCGAGATCTTAAGAATCACACAAAATAATATTTCGCGCGCTTTGAGATGGCTGGTGCGGCGCGATACAATATCGCGTCACGTACAGAGACTGTAATTGGCTTATGCTCAGACTTTATTACATTTTGTTGTAATATCTCGTTTTAATAATAAACATTTTTCAGAACAGGTTACACAAACCGCCTTCAATCAATAAGATAACTTTTAATTAGACTATGTAACGTTAGAACAGAGATTATAATTAGATAAAGTGAGAGGAAGGCCGCGAATGGAAGATCCTTGTGTGAACTTGCAAAGTGTGCGTGAAGAGAATTTTCTTTCCTTACATCCTTTCCATCTCGTGACATCGTTTGTATAAAAGAAAAAAATTGTTCCGAAAGTGCAGTCTGAATGATTAGGAATAATTATAAGCAGATAATTAACTACAAGAATGTAATCACAGTTATCATTGGAAGGTATACGTTTTTTCTCCCTTATGGAACTCTGTGACTTTGAATTTGCTCGATTTGGTGTCCTCGCGATAATTCGCATCCTATTTTTCTGTAAAAGAATTATCTCCAATATAACACAGCGTTCTAGATCTTCTTAAGTTTTTATTTTTTCCACGTTAAAACATTCAGATTGCTTCTGACTTGCTGCGAGAATTTTGCATCACCAAACCTCGTTAGGATCGTCGTTTCAAATATGCTCCTAGCGATTAAATGTCCTTCAACACTTAACGAAGTTCCTTTACATAACAAATAAATACGAAGACCCCAAATCGCTAAATATATGCATATGTAAATTCTGATATATCTAACAATTATTATCCTTATATCCCTCCTAAGAGCTATATATCTTATAAGAGTTTATTTTTTAAATCTTTTGTTCAAAAAAATGTTAAAAGGGTAACCGCGAAACAACGCGCCTTCCTTGATGACTTTGATTTTTGCGACGATATTAAAATCGAAAAACTTATCTATTATAATCGAAATAAACAAAATAATAATTAATACTGTAATCTATGTGTGCTATATTGGACCAGGCTCATATTTCTTTCGATTGTTACAACCGAAAGAGAGAGAGAGAGAGAGAGAAGGTATCAATATACATATGAAAAAAATAATAGTATAGAAATACTGGAAGAAAATATTCACAGGAGCGATACGGTGATGTCTTTTTTAGTCCCTTCTTAGACTGACTCGCCCGCACACTGCCATCATTCGGTATTTGCAACAAAAAAAATGTTAAATTACGTTATTAAGTTAATTCTTATGATAGTCTAATTACAGAAAAATTAAGTTATGGGTAATAATATCGGTGGTGTAAATCAAGTGTAAAAAAGAAGGCACTAACATAAACAAAAAAATGCTTTTCTTTTCATTTATGTACTTACGAATTCTACGCGGTATTTTTTTTTGCGTCTCCATTACAAGAAATAATCTAATGCGCTCATGGATCATATAGAATATGCGAGGTTCTCAATATGTATGATTGCGCAGCCGTTTACAAGGGTTCAAGGATTTATAGTACCAAGAGTCTTCGATATCCACGTCACGTACCAAGAATCAGGAGTTCAGAGGACGAGGATAAGAGAGAACATAAGAATTGTTCGCTTTCAAGATGCAAGATTCGTGGTACTGGCGATCTTTGAGATCTTGATAACTTGTGTGTCAGTTCAAGGATCTGTAGTATCAAAGATCCATGCATACTAGAACACACCGGAATATGTATACGGAATATGTTTAAGAAAAGCTCCGATAATAAAAATCCACGATATTGAGGATCTGCAGATTTCGAGGATCTATGGTACCAGCAGATTTTTGTACTCGTGAAATTTAATACAAACAAATAAAGTTTAATTTGAAAACTTTTATTTGCGCATTATATATGGATTCATTATTAACAAATGCAAAATGCAACCGCTCCTTTTGAACTTTTACGTAAATAAATCGTTTTATACTGTCCTTCAGAGAGGATTAGCTCTATGTCTCAGATTTAATATTAAATATAACGTAAGTAAGATTATCTTTCAACGTCCAAATATTACACAAATTTTGAGTTTTGCCACTTCCTCGAATCTAAATAATTTTGATATAAATGAAAATTTACAATTTCTATATGCACAATTTTCAAAAAGTTTCCATTTGCGAGGACAAATCTTTACAATGCAATATGATATACTTCTTTTTTAACGTTATGCAAACCGTTTTATATTATTTTCAGCGCTAAGTTACGCACTTTTAAATTTAACCCTAAACAGTATAAGCGGAATATCAATACTTTCCAAACATTACAAAAATGTTATGAATTTATTATCGTTTTGCAATCATCATTTGTCAAACTTAATACAAATCAAAAGAGAGAATTACTAAATGTATTTTTTTTGAGCTTTTACATAGTAAGCGTTAACTATATTATAATTCACTCTCTTTTGCATTTTACATTGTTCTTTATCTAATTTACCGTTCTAAAACGCGTTGCACCTTTCCCGCATATTTACAATAAACTCTATTTCATTCTAAATTAAACAAAGTATTTCATACTGTTTAGGTTTAATCAACGCGTTCATGATTGATTCATATCTCTTTAGGGCAACAAAGTACAGTAATAGGTATCATTTTCGATAATGTAGACAATGATTGAAGAATTTTACGAGTTCTATAGATACGGTTTGACCTGGAAAAGGCCCAAGTCATAGCATTTAAAATTCCCAAGAGTCCAACAAGATTTTAAGACTTATCGGATAAAGAACTCGAAGACCGCCGCAAAAAATTTCAGAACTTTTCAAAAATCCGAAGTTTCACGGATTCTAAAAATATAAAGACGCCTATGAAAATCGAAAGATCCCAAGCAAGATGAAAGGATCCAAAAATATCATAAAATCTATTCGTAATCGTAATCGAAACTTTCCGGCTCTTCGCAAGATCAATTGTTGGCATTTCGCCTCTGCAGTGCTGCTGCGAGATCTTGCCTGAGCGCGGCCTGCTGTCTTTGATCAGCCAAAGATTGCACCGACCGCAACCCATTCACAATATCCTTCGTTTTACCGAAGTAGATCTCGTTTAATGTATTACGAATTTTATTCTCCATGTCTTCCACCATTCTACCGATGTTCGCGATATGAGGAGATGTTTCGCTGATCTGAGCGTCTTGTTCTACCTACAATTGTAAGCAAAACACATAAATTTTTTGTAAATTATCTATTGAGATACAAGCAGAATTTTTTTTCATTTAATGAGCCAACAAAGGTGGAGCTCAAAGTTTGATATAAGTGCTGTACTTACCTGACGCGTCAAACTGCCACCCAAATTCATTGTACCAGAACCATGTTTGTTAGTCTGCAGCCACAACATGGCTGTTGATGTGAGTTTATAGTGCGCAGTACGACCAGTCGATTTCTCTTGTACCTCTACTACATGTATCGAGTCCCAACATCCTTTGATCTTTTTAGAACCATCGCCAGCCTTCTTGATAAGAATTACTGCTGCAAAACCATGATCCAAGTCCCACAAGTACACCGACGAGACCCCACCTTCGAAATAGAGCTCTCGATACTGATCAAAGGCATGGTTGGCATCTATTTCCAGTTTCCTCAATCGTTCAGAAGGCATTGAGCCATCCTCTAGCGGTGGATCGTAAGTATTACTCCAAGGAGATCTGTAAAACACATGTTTATGCAGTGATAAATTATCTTCTTTTCTCTTACCATCAAACAATCTAATCAATTCTAAGCCTAATATTTCAATATTTGTGTCAAAATTTTTCAAACCTGTTGATTGACTGTAGGATAGAGAAATCCTATTTTACAATCAATCGACATGCTTAAAAAGACGAAATATCATTCTAACCAAAATCATAAGGCTTGTAATTTGGCTCTCATAAGACTTGTAAGAACTGAAATTATAATTCTATGTATAAGACATATAATCATTTGTAAACATTTATAATTTCTTTTAAATTTTATAGCTTGTAAGAAGCTGTCAGTAAAAATATTGCATAATATAAACATTCCAGTGCAAGTTTTTACAAGTCGTATGAGAAGAAGTTATGAACTTTAAGATTCTGCTTAAAATTGGTCCATAAGTGTTCACTTTGATACAAACCTGTATGAATCTCCGTCTCTATTGTAGTCACACAATAAATAGTCCTTGCCAGACTCCTTATCCTTGGCAATCTTTAACGGTTGGTCTACAGAGGACAGTAGATCCTCGCATAACGAAGGAACCAAGTCAATCAGGTCGCTGAGGTTTTTTTCAATTTGTTGCGGAGGTAATCTCCGCATCAGGTCTAACGCACAATCCATTTGCTGCTCTGTCTAAAACATATACATGTAATAAAAAAAAAAGGAATACATACAGTTATAAGAGAATATACAGATTCAAATTATTTACAACGCTGTTAATCGTCTTCTATTTTTCTTTCAAAAAGTACGATTCTGAGCGCGAGTGAAGGACGTCTTCGACGACAGGGAGGACGAGATTACTTTTTCAGTGTGTGAACAATTCCTGGGATTATTTATTTACAGGTGCACACGTCAGACGTGACGATAAACGATGGACGAAACATAAAGGCTGAATGTCTTACCATACTGTCGCAATTTAAATTGGTTATAGGCCGACGAACATCAAAATCTTATTGGCCGATGTCGACAATGAGATAAACGTAAAACGTATTTTTTATTTTATAGCCACTACCTCGCTAGGATTGTCTCAAAAATAAACGAGACGAGCATTGAAAGGGTGTGTCGTGGTACGAGTAGCGATTGGTTTGTCGCGCTCGTCGCTGGCTGCTGGCCTCCGAAAGGAGTGAGGTTAACTGTTCGCGTCGCAGGCTGGCCAAACTGAACGTTTTGCAGGCATTAATGGGCTTTAAAGTCGACGTTGTCGCGAGAACGGATTGGCTAGTAGAGAACATGAGAAACTTTGGACGGTATGAGAAATTCCTATCAAGATTTTCCTTTCAATACGATCTTATGGATCTTATTAGGTTATATATATAATAAAAAATAATTTCATGCGTTTTACCCACCATATGCTGCAACTTAAAAGTCAAAGGAAAAAAGTATTTTGTTCATCGCACGACTTTCGGATTTCCTTCGCGTGAACAGGCCTTTATGCATTACGTTTACACTTCACTTCACACACAACTCTAAAAAAATCTATTTTCTTATCACAATCATGAAGTGGATACCTTTAACACGGACAATTTTCTTCGATTCTATCCTTCTTCACCTTCTTCTAATTCCAGAGATGTGCTTCTCGTTCTGTGCCCTTTAATTGTTATTTTCTTTTGTACATTCGTGTGAATAGACCTTTACTCATTGCCTCCACATTCACTCCGCTCAGACACAATTTTAAAAAATCTGATTTTTTTTACTGGAATCATGAATTGAGAACCTCTATCACAGACACATATAATTTTCTCTGATTTTTTCCCCTTCTTTTTCTTCGCCTAATTCCAGAATTCCAGAGACGCGCTTCTCGTTCTGTACTCTTTGTTATTTATCTTATTTATTGAATCACTTCAGCCGAGCTCCGATACTTAAAGCGAGGACTGACACGGCGAATCGCGCATGTGTGTGTATACGTGG